AAAAAAAAAAAAAAAAAAAAAAAAACCTTGCAAAAAAAAATCTGCCTATAACTTTTGACTCCCCAGAAACTTAATGACGAATGACCGGAAGCCTGACCAATAACAATCGGTTGCTTAACACATATTTGGCATGTTATATAGATTATATAATGCATTCTTACAAGAAAGTAAGCTAGAGAAAAAAATGTTACTAAGAAAAGCATCAGGGAGAGAAAATACATTGGTAGCCCTGTACTGCATTTATGGAGAAAACAAAACAAAACAAAACAAAACCCTTGGATAAGTGGACCCGTGCGGTTAAAAACCCATGCAGTTTTTTGTTTTTTTTTTCAACGTTTATTTATTTTTGGGACAGAGAGAGACAGAGCATGAACGGGGGAGGGGCAGAGAAAGAGGAAGACACAGAATCGGAAACAGGCTCCAGGCTCTGAGCCATCAGCCCAGAGCCTGACGCGGGGCTCGAACTCACGGACGGCGAGATCGTGACCTGGCTGAAGTCGGACGCTTAACCGACTGCGCCACCCAGGCGCCCCAAAAACCCATGCAGTTTAAGGGTCACCTGTATTGTTCAGTATTAGGTACAGGATGTGTGGAGGCGGCAAAGCCAACACCTAGTCAACCTTCTGCTGGTAAAGAGCCAGGTTTAAAAAAAAAAAAAAAATGCTAAAATAATTTAAAAGAGAGATTGGCTCGTCACACCTTCCCGGGGGCAGGATGCCTCTTGCTTCATATTGACATAACTCAGAGGTGTAGGTCAAGTGAATCGTTCCAGAACAAGCAAAATCTTCTGCAAGATGACTTTTGCCACCGGCCAGGCACTCTACCTCACAATGCTACTCCCCATCCTAAGGATTCTTAGCTTCTGTCGTGGTGACACTACAGCTCTTCGATGCCCTCATTCTCAAACAAGTGTTGAGTGCCTACTTCGAGCCTGTGCTGGAATACAGAGACAAGTTGGGGGCACCTGGGTGGCTCCGATGGTTAAGTGTCTGACTCTTGATCTCGGCTCGGTTTGCGATCGTTCGTGAGATCGAGTCCCATGTGGGGGTCTGCACTGACAGCATGGAGCCTGTTTGGGATATTCTCTCTCTCTCTCTCTCTCTCTCTCTCTCTCTCTGCCCCTCCCCCTCTTGCTCTCTCTCTCTCTCTCAAAATAAATAAGCATTTACAAAAAAATTAGACAGACGTGGTCCCTGGTCTTCTGGGGCTCACACAGTCAGGAAGTCACACACAGAAAAATTATGATC